CCCCCCCCCCCAAAATGTACCTTCCCTAAGGGAAGTTGTATTTAAAGCCCTTTATCTTTTTCTGTTACTACTTCCTTCCTCTTACATGTCAACACCCACAAAATATATCATTTTCTCTTCCATTCCCCCCTCTCCCATACCCTACCCCCTGTCCTAAAGGGAATGTATTTGGGTGTGTTTATTAAACCTTTTTCTTTTTCTTTTCCTTTCTCTTTTAAAGGAATTTAAGCAACATGAAAGCCAGTGGCTTCTCACTTAATTCTCGTTTTTTGGTCTTGTGGCTGGGATTCAGTCATGAACAATTAAGTATAATTTATCTGCTAAGTGGCTTGTGTAATCAAGGTTTCTGTTGTGTTTCTGTTGATGTGTTTATTATGCCGACGTATGACTTACTATGCATTCCCATCACCAAACTTTTATATACTCGTTATTGCATAGTTAATTTTTCCCTCTTCGAAAATCTCTGGACTCAACCTTTTGAAAGACCTTATCATGCAACATAAATATAAGCAAACAAATTAGTTCCTGATAATAGTACCTGTGTGAAAAGAATACCCCTCTCTTCAAGAGGTGATGGGGTGGTTTACCAGTTATTCTTTCAATTCTTTCAAGATGAGACTCATTTAGTGCAGAACATCCAAAGTCTCCTAACATGGACAAAAACAGTAAACATTATTGTAAAAAAACAATTAAAAATAAAACTTGAAGGTCAATAAAGCTTTGTTCCAGTTGTAAGATCCCTTCAGAATTTTTTTTATAATTTCCTTTATCTATCGTTTATTACTACAGATTTTTCTATGCATTTTTTAAAGAGAATATTTCCGCTTACTGATCAACTTGTTATAGTCTATCCCCTTGTTATCTGCAGCTACGACCGTCTCCATCGTCACAACTTGCTCGAAATTCTCCTCTAAATTCCCATTACTCCCGTCGTCTATAGTGGCTGCCATGTTTCTTCTTGCAGATAGCCGAATAACTAAGCGATCGAGTAAAGATTTCACTAGTTTCCTACTGTAAACAGTATGCATTCAATAGTTTTTCTTTCGAATCTTGCATCAGCCGGTATAGTGAGCCCGTGATCTACTGTGGGTGCTAGGCCCCTTGAGTAGCCCTCTTCCACAGGAAGACCAATACACTACTTTTGTTTTCACGGCATTAATTTTTCCAGAACAAAACTTCATCTTTTCTGARCTCAAGATTCCGTACACCAAAATGCTCTTAAAAAGAAGTACGTTTATTTTCTTGAATTGCAACTTTGAATCTATATCTTTATCGGGTTTTTAGCATTCTTACTAAAGTTCTACATTTGTTTTCATTCATTTTTTTGGTGCTAAATAAAACTTCTAGGTCAAAAACTAAGCTTACCAATGTAGAGATTTGCCCAAAAACATTATCTTACGCATTATTTTCTTGTATCAAACTCTCCTCTAAGGATAACAAGTTGTATTTTCTGTTTTTTCTAGGCAGTTTTCATGGAATGGTATCATTTTCTTAAAACAGTTCAACTAAAGTTTCAACACTGGCCATGGTATAAAGTACAAATTACACTATTCTATACTAGCAGGTAATGTGCACTTATTACTATGTATCTGGTATTTGCACAACTGGATTATTAGCTATTATATATCTTATAAAGTCAGTAATAGCTTTTTTCATTTAGTACAGTGTTGATTGATTGGCATTGAGGTCATGTGACATGCACTAATTTGCAGTAATAGGTCTACATAATATTATGGTATATTAAGTCAAGGTGTGTGAACTCGCACACCTATAGTACACTGGAGACATTTGTGCATTCCACTGTATTACTTATTCTATGCTAGATTGTTCATTGACTCTTTTTTTTTTTGGGAGGGGGAACCGTCATACTTTCTGTCATACTCTCAGTTAGGGACCAGGTTGTGTGTGCATATATAAACTGAAGGCTTGTCCARAGGAAAGCTTAGAGTCTTGGTGCTCGAAATTTTTTCTGTTAGCTTTTTGAAGTCTACTGACTTTACATTTCATTGCCAAAAGACTGTTGCTGCATGCATTAAAGTAAAAATTAAAAAATATATATTATTTTGTCCCTTTTAACTTTTTATTCATGAAGTCTTTCACAATTTTTGCTTTCTGAATTTCAAAACGTTAACAAATGAATTATCTACACAATGGTGGATACATGTTATTGAACAATTCTAAAGGCTTCAAAATGATTTTTTTTTCTGAACTAGATGAGTCCTGCCTAACTTGTTTTTACTCTATTAAATATTATACTAATGTTGAAGCAAAGATAATGAACTACCAGAAATTACCTTTCAAATTAAATTCTTGCATGTGCAAATCAAACATGAAAAAATTGGCTACAGGTTTTATGATGATTAAAGTGTTCAATCTCACGCTGAGGAAATCAAGTAGCAAACATTTTTTTAAAATGGCATTTTTGGACAACAATTTTGTATAAGATTCCCAGTCGTTCAATACATGATTGCAATAGCTAAACATATACATTAAAATCATTGCAATTTGCTAGCCCTTGAGAAGGCCATATTGTTTTACCATCTGCAAAGGCCAGTTGTAGAAGCCAAGCATAGGTTTTGTCGAACAGCTCCTAAGCAGACATCCTCATCACTGATTAATCGTGGCGCGACACGATTGAGCATGTCTTTCTTCCAACTCAAAGTTGGGAAAGGTACAGGTTTGACTTTCTACAGTCGGTCGGTCATCCAACGGGAGCTGGCTTTTTCTGTACTTTAGAGATATTTCTTAAGAACGTTTATGACCTGTTAAAAAAATAAAAAGTAACCAATCGTTAATATCAATTGTTACAAAGGAAAAATGTTAACCTAAATTTTACACAATAAGTAACTTATAGCTTATAAATGAATATAGTAATAGCTTGAAACAAATTTACTAACCTCCTCAGTTGCATTATCTAGTGGTGTTTCATTCTCGCAATTAGGGATTGACAGGTCTGCTCCAGCAGCCAACAACATAGCAGACATYTCTAACAGCCCACGCCCTGCAGCAATATGTAACGGCGTGCTTTCATCGCACCTCTGAGCATTAACGTTTGCTTTGTAGTCAAACAGTAATACCCTCAGCATTCCAAAATTGTTATCTTCAATTGCATGATGGACAGCAGTTCTTCCAGCTGTTGCATCCTTTGAAAAAAATGAAAATTTGTCAAACTACCTGTATGTATAAGGTAATATTATTGCTTATAGCATGCATAGATTGATTAGATGCATGACGTAAGTCAATACTTACTGGTAAATCAACATTTGCTCCAAAGTTGATAAGTAGTCCAACAGCATCAACAAAATTTCCCTTGGCTGCCAGGTGTAGAGCAGAAAAACCTACAAAAGAAAATGATTTGGAAAAAATTAACATAAAAATTAATAAAACTTAATTTGGGAAAATAACCAGATAAATAAAATTTCAGACCAGCAGCCTGCTTTCAGTTTTCAGTAAGCAAAATGATCCCTTTTGGCAATAAGCATTGATGATCCCTAGGGTGCTGGGTATTTCCCAACATCCTGCATTCTTTCACTTTTATAACAATGTACACCAAAAGATGTGTTTGGACTTGTTTGAGGGAGCTTTCGTAGTCATGCTTTGAGTTTTTTTAATCACTTTTATGTAAAAAATCACGAAGAATAAATTGTAGCTAAGCTATAAATTAAAACTTAGGAACAATTTTTCTAGACTTTGAAACCCAACCTAGAAATTTAATATTTACCTTTATAATCTCTTGCGTCCAACATCATAACAAGGTAATCTCTAACTTCATCATTAATACCACTGTTGCATCTAAGAGGACTTGTAAGAACTTGAATACAACTCATATCTCCCTGCTCACAAGCAAGGTGCAGTGGTGTTCGTCCATTACGATCAACTGCATCAATAGCTGCTCCATGTCTCATTAAGGCGTTGACAACAGCGGGTTGTTTTGTAAGGACAGCAAGATGTAGTGGTGTCTGTTGAGAAAAACATTAACATTAATTAAAATTACACATAAAAAACTAACCTAAACGTACGAAATGAAACAAGGAAAAAACAACTTAGGGACGACCTAAGTGCTCTGACTTCCTCATGACACGAAATACCATATTTAGGAAATAACTTCCTGTAACATTTATATTAACGAATTCACTCATAATTTACCTGTCTTAAGTCGTTGTAAATGTTCAAGCATTCTTTATTTGGTGCGATGGTTATAAGAGATTCCACTATAGGCGATCCATGGATAATAGCAAGATGTAATGGCCTGGGTAAAAAAGAAATATAATGGTAAAAAAATGCATAAAATTATCGAGAAACAAAAGTGATAAACGAACGGCTTTTCTACATCCTTTATTAAAAATGTCATCAATGAATCTTACTAAACCGATGGTATTAGATTTATATAATAATATTTAATATTCTAAAAGCGGCGTTGTTCATCAGAAGCGTTTTTTTTAACCTCAATACTTCGATCAAACATAGTCTACTAAATTCCAAAACGTTTCGAAAATTTGGAGAATATCAAATATCAACTTACGTGTCGCCATCTTCGTTTTGCATCATAAGATCGTCCCTCATAGGAGCGAGAAGGTAGCGAACGTCGTTACTTTGTGCAAAGTTCATGACGTGTTCGGCAGGACTTATTTGAAGTGAAGAATTTTGCGCTGAACAAGATGTAGGAGTAGAAACGGGTAAAGACTTGCATGGACCAGGATGGCGGTTCTTCATCGCTTCGTCATCTTCGTCAATGATCGACAAATCTTGCAAATCTAGAAGATTTGCAGTGTCTTGATCGAGACGTTCGTAGCTTCCTTCTTGAGACTTGAAGCTATCTCCTAGCCCTGAATCACACTGATCTAATGTGAGGTTATTCTTGCCTTGTTCCATCTTGTTTAACAAAGCTGCTCGATGAGGGTTGATTATTTCTCGTTGCATTGGCGCTCCTCTGGGTGTTAATTTACGATTCGACATGTCTTTGTACATAGGATCCTTTTCCTTCTTCGAGTTGGCTCGAATAATATATGCGTTAAGCACTTAGTGTGTAAAAAGTAAACCACGATCACTGATACTAACAACAAAAAATACTTATTTCACGAAGTCTGTTCAGATCGTAACTGATCAAAAATGGCGGATGCGTTATAAAAAGGATGCTTCTTGTTGGGAAGGGAAAGTCCCAGGGAAAGAACCCTTTTGCACGTGATCGCTTTCAACCAATCAAAACTTTAGTTTCAAGGTCATTAGCCAATCAACTATCACATGATGACGTGAAGGGGATTATGGTTCCAACAAAAGTCCTTCATGAATATGCATTAGGGGATTCCCCGAAATTTGAACTTGACCAAAAACAATGGCGAAAACGCTGAAACGTGCTTATAAAATACACCTACGTTTTCTTCCTTAAGATTCAACTTATGTGTGCTTAGTAGCCTTAGACTTGTAACGTGAGCAATAAAAATGTGTGAATGAGTCGGCGATTGGGAAAAATAGTGCATTGTATTTAAATAAGTAGCAAGCTCATGAAGGTGTTTCCTGAGGGACTTTCCCTCCCACACTTTTTCAATCTTTGAATATTTAATGTTGTATTCATTTTCGACCCTGTCTCTTGTTCCAAGGTTTCGTTTAGGTTAGGGAATAATTTGGGAAATTTTCCAAAAGATTCCATTTCATCTTCGTCTTCAAGCAGAGAAAATTTTTAGATTTCGTCTAATCGAGGGGCTACTAGAGAGTTACTGCAATTTTACATGTAACGATGTAATGATGCAGTAAAAAATTATCTCCGTTGTCTAGGCTTTTTAGGGCTTTTTTTGCTGTAGTTTTAAACCCAATTTCCAGGATTTTATGGCTAAGAAACAAAAAGTAAAATTGCTATTTTTGAAAAATGGGAAAATATTGATAAGGAAACATCTCTTAAAATCATATTCTGAGAGAGTACGACAACTAATATCGGCAGCTCAAAAAAATTTTTTAAATGCTTCTTACCAAAAAAAAAAGTTTTTATGTTTTGGAAAGTTTTAAAAAGTAATTATGATTGAGGTTAACAAGAGTTTTTACTGATACTCGTGTATAGAAAAACGAAAGCAAATGTGAAACTAAAATTTAACGGGGGGAAACACCAGGGAAAATTTTCTGCGTATCAACTTGCGCCCCGGAAAAGGCGTTAAAAAGTTTTAAGTTAAAATCATGACAAATTTAACTATCAGTACGGATATAAGATAATTATAAAAAGAAAAACCGGCACAAAGTAATGAATAAGATGAATATTTTAAATGAGCGTTAATACGAACGATGAGACTGATTTCTTTTTGGTCTAAGTTGAATTATTTTGATTTCATATTTTGCACGACCTTGACATAGCTTTCATGTGATTGATGATCTGTCAACCTAATTGCATTGCTCAGCTGGATTTTGTTTTCAGTAGATCACGTAGTATGGCGTTGATGCCATGACCTGTCAAAAAGTCACGTGATAATGACGATGATGTCATGATTAAAATACGAAAAGTGTTGGTTTAAAAGACCAAAGTCGGCAAAAAAGATTCTATAGTAGGCATGGAATTTTAAAAGGTTTGCAAATATACGTATAATATTGAAGTGTACATTATCCTAAAATTTTCAAAAACATTTAAACTAATTTAATCACTACCAAAAATAGACTTCATGCAACGATTGGTTTGACGCATCTTGTGATCTAATTTGGAGGTGGCTGCCCCAAACACTTAGTTACAAACCATATATAGTATATATAGTGCATTGTTTAAGCTGTTTTCCCTCACTTGGAGTAAAAAATAACTTACCAAACTGAATATTTTTACCAAACTATAGGGATGATTGGTCAGGTTGTAAAACGTTTTAAATTGATTGCCTAAGAAAGAATCTGACTAAACAATATGATATATTTTTGGGGGAAATCATCTTAAATGGCGGGGTAAAGTTTTCAGAATTGAAATATACTAAGCGAAAATCTCTAAACCTCACTGACTGGACGTTTTCTGACCTTTTTCTTTCGATAGACTGATGTAGAATTGCCGTTTTTACAGGGCAGTGAGTTTGTTCAAAACCTTTGTTAATGAAATATGTTAGTAGGTTTGCGGGACAAATAACTGTACTAGTAATATACGCTGTATTTTTCCTTTTTACGAGCCGGTAGATTAAAAATTAAAAATTGATAAACAGCATTTGTTAAACTTGTTGAAACTATCATATAAAGAATTGCCATAACTTCTTAGGTCCAGTTTAAACGTCAAATTCCGCATGTGCCAATTCAATGTTTGAAGTTATTTGCATTAGATTCTGCATATTTGAAGTTCGACGTTTCAACTAGACCTAAAATCGCAAAACTAAAAGTCGTTGTGCTTCGGAGCCTGCAAACTTCTTACGGTTACAAGACTCGTACGTTCCACCGCCTATATAAAGAGAGAATTAAAGATGCACTATTTAATCAAAATGCTTCAGATTTTCTTCTATAACTTTACTCAAGGCACGATAAAAAGTGCCAATCATTTCTTTCATTTATATTTATTGGACTTTTAATCGATCGATTACTTCATATGATCTACAATGATTTAGTCACATCATTTATTTAGACATTTATAAATAGGTTCAGTCGTAATCATTAACTCACTAACTCGCTTACTCATGGAGACTAACTGTATCTCTCATCATTTTTATTCAAATGCATCCATCCATTCATCCATCCATACATCCCTCCCTCCCTCCCTCCCTCCCTCCATCCATCCATCCCTCC